CTGTGGGAGAAGACCTGAAATGGCCAGTGTGCCATGGGCTCTGGCGTGGCAGGGTCCAGCTGTCCCCCGGGTTGTCCCCTGGGGCTGTGCCCCCCTCATGGCACTCACCTGCGCAGGGGAAGGAGCTGGCAGTCGCAGTGGAAAGGCACATCCCTCAGGTTGAGGATATCCAGCCCCGTGAAGTTGCTCATGTCGGGGATGTGGCTCATTTTGTTGCTCTCCAGGTAGAGGCTTCTGATCTTGGGACCAAGGCCAGTGAAGGCACCGGGGGAAATCTGCAACGAAGCGAGGGTGAGTCAGGGGGGTCCTGATGGAGGCAGGGGAGCAAATCTCTGCCCTTGCACTGATAATCAGCCTGAGGGGCTGAGAGAGCCTGTCCTGAACCTGGTGGCCCAGTGAAAGAGCTGTTTTAAACAGCAGCACAAGTGCTTGGGGACTGTTAACCAGTTTCAGTCACGTTTTGGGACTCGCTAGACCCTGCTCAGTCTTCCTGGGAAGAAGGTGACGCGCAGGAGGTCTTAGAGTGATCCCTGGGCGCTGTTAAAGGTGGATGGTCCTTATGAGAGGTGCTAACACTGCTTTCTTTAGAGGATGGAGGAATTCGGGGTAATAGCAGTGAAAAGTCCCACAGGACAGCTTGTAGTAAGAGCAGGAGAAATACGGCCAGGGCTGGGGGAAGGGGGTGGTTTGGGGAATGGACTGGACCCCACTGAAACTGTGTGTCTTTAAGGACCAGGGGGAGCAAGGCTGTCCGGGGGCAGCTGGGGGATAGGTTTGAGCGAGACAACACTCCAGCCAAGCCCAAGGTAACCTCTCTTTCTGGCCAGGCTACGGAGCATCTCCTGAAGCCTTGGGAGTTCGGGGACATCCATTCAGATGGCCCTGTGGAGGCCACCAGCCCTGGGTGCTGGAATGAGATGGGACCTATGGCTGTGCCCTGTGGTGCCCCTGCCCCTCGGGATTCCCCAACCACGTGCACCTGCTCCAGGCCCATGTTGTCCAGGTAGAGGTGCTGCAGGCTAGAGGCCACCGGCAGGAAGGCACTGTCCCCCACACGCTTGATGGGGTTTCGGGACAGCTTCAGCTCGCTCAGGGTGGGCAGGCCCCACAGGGATGCTGTGGGCACCTCTGCCAGGTGGTTTCCCTCCAGGTGCAGCTTCTCCAGCATCTTGGCAGGAGCCAGGGCGGTGGGGGCGATGTGCCCGATGGCGTTCCCAGCAAGGTAGAGCCAGCGCAGCCCCCCGGCCCCAGCCAGGTCGCCCTCCGCCAGCTCCCTGATGGCGTTGTGCTGCAGGTGGAGGGAGATGAGGTTGGGCAGGAGCTGGAAGGCACCCACGGGCAGGCGGGTGAAGGCGTTGCGGTCCAGGTCGAGGTAGGCCAGCTGCGGGGCCCCCTCGAAGGCGGTGGCCGCCAAGGTGGAGAGGCGGTTGTCGGTGAGGTAGAGGTAGACCAGGCTCTCCAGCCCCCGCAGCGCCCCAGGGCGCAGCGCCCCAATGCTGCAGCTCTGCAGGTGGAGGGACACCAGCTCCTTCAGGCCAGGGAAGGCGCCCGGCGGCACCGTCCCAAAGGCATTTTGGCGCAGGTTGAGGAGGCGGGTGTCCCTGGGGAAGCCCCAGGGGATCTTCCGCAGGTCCTTGTTCTCACAGGACCCGTGCCGGAAATCGGGGGAGCAGGCGCATCCCTGGGGGCACTGCCCGCTGCCGGCCGCCCTCGGCTGCTCTGGCGGGGTGACAGGGGTGGGGGGCAGCCCG